AGGCTTCTCTCTTTAATGTACTCCCTTGAGTAATTTATGCAATACCTTGTTATTTATAAAATTATTTCTTAAACTGAATTCTTACTGTAATTCTCAATACAAAATGTGCTCATATATAGAAAAGTCCACAAAAATGGATGTATACTTCAGGTTGCAAGCAGAGTTAACACTTATTATTTTATAAGACTATTTTAAATATATTGTTGTCCTTTTTTTGATAATAAAATCCACATTTAAGTTTTGTGCCAGAATTTTGTTAAAAAAAAAAAAAAAAAAAAAAAAAAAAAAAAAAAAAAAAAAAAAAAAACAAAAAAAAAATAGCACTGAAAGTAGGTTATTTTTTAAATTTATTTTTGAGGCCCATAAAATTATTAAGCACTCTGGCATTGACCTTTCTTCTTATTTTGCATCACATTTGCAAATCAAAAACACATTAGTACTAAAGTACCGGTATACAATTAAAATAATATACTGAAGATGCCATCCTAGCTGTAGTTTGAAAAAAAAAAAAAAGGGTTCCTTCTTCAGTTGTTTTAACCATAGATAAACATTAATATGTGAATGAGGTAATTTATTGATCAGAAATCTTATTATCAAGAGAAATTACCTTCCCTGGGTAATTTTTACAATCTAATAAGTGGCATATATAGGGTTTGTGCCACCCGGATTGAGGTGAGAATTTAGCCCCCCACTTCTCCCCAGAAATATCTACAAGGAAAAAAAAATTTTGTCCTAAAATAGTTGACAATTAAATTTTGAATGTAGGGTCCTGCAGACATTTAAGTTAGGACTAATAGTGATTTCTACTCTAATTCTAATGCTTCACATGCAGTGAATGGTTGCTTTGGGGGCCTAGGTTTTCAACCATTTGTTCACATTTCATCTAATAAACTGCATCATGAGTGACTTGTAAAATTATAAGGAAGAAAATTCCGTCTCTTTTCTTAGAGGCTAATTAATCATATTTAAAACAAATGGAATGCTGAACTGAGATATTTGGTGTAAAACATTAAAAGAAATTGGAAAAAATGAAAATAAATGAGCTTTCTAAAAATCAAAAGATAACATTTCAGTCAAAGACACAATAGAACCATTGTCTTCTATGCCCATAGATATAGAATGACCTAGTTACTGCGCCTGACCCCTAGTCTGTATTTTTGCTTTATATTTAGTCAGAGATAGATCTTGTTACATAACTTCTGTTCTGTGTAATGGCTTAGAGCCCAACCTATAGATAGCCTTGCATCACATTGTGTACATAGTTTTTCTTTGAGCAGCAGTGCTTTCGTCTTTTTTAAATCTCCATTCCATTGATAAATTATTTTTTTATACACCTAATCTCAATTCATCAGTTTCATAACTATTGCAGGTCTGCACACCTGATTTTAAAGTTTGAGCTTAATTAATTAGCTTGTTGATTCCTGAATGTGCTACACCAAAGGCCTACTGGGCCAAAAAATCAGAAGATGTTTGCTGTTTTATATAAAAAGGGTTTCCTGGCAGATTGCCAATGGTTCAAGTGGTTACTTCTTCTTTTACATTTTTTAAATGGGCAAGCCATGTCACTGTTGGGGTAAATCCAAGTAATGAAATATGAATAATTAAAATTCTGCAGCCCTGCTTTAGTTTATGAGTTTAAAAGCATGAATATTGTGATACTGTTCCTCTGGGGTAACATATCATGAAAATACTTATTACCACCAGTATAGTCAAGGTGTTTACAGGCGATTATTTATTGAATAAAACTAAAAATACAGCTGTAAACCCTAAACTCACAGTAGAATTAAAAATCAGAGATTTATTTAAACCATTATTTCAACATTTGTTTACCGTTATTTAGACATCTTGATTTCAACTACTCCCTAGATTAGTGTCATAAATGTGGATGCTTGGAAATGTGTATTGCAGTTACTAAACTGTTCTTTAGATTTATAGATTAGATGCACCAAAGAATTTTTCAATATAATGTTAAAAGATTGAATCAATTTAAAAACGTCACATACTTAAAAACAATGATATGGATTTACTATTATTTTACGGAAATTAAACACATTTAAACTTACTAAATATACCCGTTACTAAATATATCAATCTGTTTTTGTTTTAGTACCCGGTATATACAATTTTTAATATCTAAGTTTTATTACAGTATTATAAATTAGAAAAAAATTAATATAACTTATTAAAGAAATATTTTGAATACTTTATCTGAATGTGAAAGTTAAGATGTGATTATCTATTTATTAGTATTACCTTTATTCATTCGTTAGCACATTTATCTGTCATGTTTTTAGTGCGTTGTTAATATTGCGAAATTAAATTGATATTATTGCTTTGGCTGTAACTATGATATAATATGAATGAGACAACATCTTTTGGCATTTGTTAATAGTATCATCCATAAATTACCGTACTGTTATTAATTTAACAGAAATCAGAGCTTTATAATGAAAGTATAAAGATAGACCTAGAGATCCTTAATGTCCCTCCAGCAACAGACAATGATAACTACCCTATTCTCCGCGCAGAAGTAGAAGCAGCAGTCCAAGTACTCCAAACAGGAAAGGCAGCAGGAGTGGATAATATCCCTGCCGAGTTAATGAAACAAGGAGGAGAAGCAATGATAAGTGCCCTATTCAATATTTGTAACAAAATCTGGCTTACAGGATAATGGCCCAAACCATGGACCCAATCGCTCATCGTCACCCTCCCCAAAAATAGTAACCTACAGCTATGCCAAAACTATCGCACAATTAGCCTAATAAGCCATCAGGGAAAGGTCATGCTGAAGGTCATATTGAACCGACTAAAACCATATGCCGACAGAAGCATGAAGGGACAATCAGCATTGCTGGGAACGAAGAAGAGCTAGCCAACCTGGTAAAGCGTCTAGATAAGACCTTGTCGTCCTACGGCATGCTAATCAGTGCCGAAAAGACAAAACTGATGACAAATAATACTGCAGGCATCACCACTGAAATTAAGGTCGGGGAGGATAGATTAGAGACTGTCGGACGGTTCAAATACCTAGGAGCAATAATCTCAGAAGAAGGCTCCAAGCCCGAACTGATGTCCAGGATTGCGCAGACTACAACAGCACTAAAGAAGCTCAAGAAAATATGGAATGACAAAAATATAGCCCCCAGCACCAACATCAGGCTGATGCGCTCATTAGTCCTCTCCATTTTCCTGTATGCCTGGGAATCCTAGACATTAACAGCCGGTCTTGAAAGGAAAATAAAAGGGATGGAGATGAGATGCTTCAGAATCATTTTTGGCATCTGCTATAGCAGTGGTTCTCAACCTTTCTAATGCTGCGACCCTTTAACACAGTGCCTCGTGTTGTGGCGACCACCAACCACAAAATTTTTATCGTTGCTGCTTCATAACTGTAGAGTATATGTGTTTTCCGATGGTCTTAGGCGACCCCTCTGAAAAGGTCATTCGACCCCCAAAGAGGTCACGACCCACAGGTTGAGAACCGCCGTGCTATTAGGTCCAATGATTACAGTGAAAGAAAGGGTTCTTCAGGCAATTGGGGAGTATGATGACCTAATGCTGACTGTGAAAAAACACAAACTACAATGGTACGGCCACGTAACAAGGAAACAAGGGCTTGCCAAAGAAATATTGCAGGGCACCACAAGAGGAGGGAGAAGAGGAGGAAGACAAAGAAAAAGATGGGAGGATAACATCAAAGAGTGGACAGGACTAACACTGGGCGATGCTGTGCGCAGTGCAGAAAACAGAGACGAGACGAATGGAGGAGGATAGTTCTCAGTCATCTGTGGCGGCCCAACGGTCAAAGGACCAAGGGACATGATGATGATGATATATGTTCAGAACTTGTTTGTTTACGTCAAAAATTACATATTGGTATATATTGTTTACTGAAAAGGGGAGAGAACGCAAACTTTTATTTCTCTAGTTACTGATGTTTGGTCATTTGATTTGTTAAAAAGTTCAGTATCCACGCTTGCATATTTGAACTTACACCAAATGAAAAAAGCTTTTTAATTATAAAAAGTGGATGGATAATGTTAAATGCTGATGAGAAGTCTATAAAAAGCATATTTTTTAGCCTAGCTGATTGTTAAGTCTTTCCAATAATAGTAAGATGGCATCCTCTGGACTTCTGGCAGATTTATAAGCAAATTGGTGGCATAATAGAAAGATTAAGGTATTAATCCACACACACACACAAATAATGGAAATCTGGTACCGGTACCTCCCCCCTATTTATAGTATATGAGGGAGAAGTTTCTAGAATTTAACCTTTAGTTTAGAAGGGCTAGCAAGAATTATCCATCTCTAATTAGAGAGAAGCTGTGGTTTTAAGATGACCTGGTTAACAAGAACAAGATAATTATTGTTGGCAGTTACAAGAAAAAAAGGGAGATAGCTCTGGAATAAAGGAGAAGCGTTCATTAATTTATCCGATTAATTTTTTTCAAAAACTTCAAGTGAAGGTGTCAGAAAATGAAATCAAATCAGTTTGTAAATTGGCAAGGATAGGTTTTGTGAAGAAAAAATCAAAATTTCACATGTTGATTGAAAGATTTTTCTGCAATAATTTCAATTATTTGATTTTAGCAGCTGCTATCCAAGGGGGCTCTGAGGCTGTTTCTAACATCAGGAGGCTCAAAGGACTTGGCTTTAAAAAAAAAAAAATTTTGCCTGAAAATAGCTTGGGACACACTGGTCCAAATTACACCTGGTAATTGTAAGTTTATATCAACTAAAATGACTACCTGTCTTTTCAAAATAGAGAAAATACAAGGTTAATTTCATAAGCTTAAATCACAGTCATCGAATCATTGTCTGACAAAGCAGATGTTTCCAGACTTAGAGCAAAAATATTGTATTGATTGCTTCATGACTTATTTTCACTTTAAATATCTATTGTAAATCAAATGTTAAAATAAAAATCATAAACCCTTCATTTAAAATTTTTTTTTTTATCCTACCTTCCATTGTGCAAGTTTCTGTATTCGAGGTACTGTACACAAGCAGGACAGAATCCATGCGAGTTCTGTGTGATAAGGAACCTGAAAAGCAAAAAGAACTAAATAAAACATAAACCTATTAAGAAGCTGGACTTTTTCTGGGATGTCACTCAATAAAAATGTGAATCATAATCAACAAGGAAAATTGAATGACAGAAAGAGAAATTTTTACCATAGACTGCTGAAAAAGTATGGCCTTGGATGGATCTATTCCACATCCCAGGAGATTAGCAGTCATGTCAAGTATATTTTGTCTGTAGATCATAAATACATACCAGATTAACTTTCAAAAGCTAATTTATACAAATAAAAACAAAAGATATGGAAATGTTTCATTTTGTAAATTGTCAGTATTATAGTAGTATGCCTTGTTGAGAAAAAAGATGCAAAAATTGTGACTAACACTACATTAACATATATTATATATAGAAATATAATGGTAATTGGTATGGTACTAAATATAATTATAAACATATAAAATTTTAAATAGCCTTAGATGCTTAAGCGCTGTGTAAAGCATCATATTGGCTTTTTAATTATGATGATTGTGTTTTTTATTATACCGATTGTTTAAAAACAATGTTTTAAATACAATTAGCAGATAAGTTCATTTTAAAGAGTGTATGAAGAGGTTATAAATTAACTCAAATATAATTCAATGCACCTTAAAGTATTTTGCTGTTGAGGCACAGTTATAGAGTGAAGATCTACAATACTTAGTAATATATTTCCTGAATATTTCTTTTGAAGTTTCACCCAATTGGTAATGGCACCAACATAGTTTCCTATGTGCACATCACCAGTGGGCTGGATTCCAGAAAAAACTCTTGTATCACATTTCACTGATTCAGAAAATGTAGCCTGATAAATTGAAGCAAAAACACACAAAGATTTCAGATTTGTTAAATAAATATGCATTTTTATATTAAAACTTTTTAATTACATAATTTCTGAATCATTTCTTTGGAAGTCAAAGTTAAAGTTAAAGTGATTTTTTATGAAGTCCAATACTGAGCTTTCTTTCTTTGTGTTCACTCCCCACTTTTGCCTTTTGTTAAACCCCATTAGATGATTTTTGTAAATTTAACTGTTTTAAGATTTGGCTAGTTTGTTTAACAATATGAAACAAAGGACTGAAAATTAACAATAAACAACTTAATAGTACAAAATCAAATATACAGAAATTAAAACTATATTATATTAACTTACATCATAGCAAGTGAAAAAATAAAATCCTTAAAAAATAAAAATATCAGTACACACACACACCCACACACAAAGAATACAATATTGTAAGGCTCCTGAAAGTGTATTAGGTCTGGTAAATGTCTAGTAAATTTGCAAAACTCTCTCTATCCTGGGAAAACTACTGGCTTATTTATAGGGAGGGTGTTAGAAATTGCATCATCCAATTGCTTTCTTTAGAGCAAATAAGAACGTAAACAACCTTTTCCTTATCAAGGGAGGAGAGAGTGTGGTACGGCGCTACACATTTGAAACGGTGATGTCAATATCAAAAGAAAAAAAAAGGAGACAAGTGGTGGAACACTTAAATTTAGCTCTACGTTGAAATAAAATTAGGTCAACACACAGGCTATAACACTTTATTCTTATGTACCCATGCGCTAAATGGGTAATTGGTTGGTGGCACAATTTTACCCTGCTCACAGTGCCAAAAACTGTTCCCAAATGGTGACTGGCTCACAGCTTTCAATTTATTTAGTTAGAAACTCAAGAAATTTAGGACCTGAGAACTATAGCTTTCTATTTTAACATAGAAACCAATAAAAAAAAAAAGCAAAGAAATAGGACAATATCTGCAAAGATAAAATTAAAACAGGTTTAAAATACAGGTTGTTAAATGTCTTGACAACCATTGAATTACACAGGGAACAATAAACAGGTTGAATAACTCTGCAATTACCGTACAGGCTATAACAAACATACTTATAAACTAACAATACAGATGCATGATGACCATATAGTACCTGAATACAAAGGGTAATTGAAATTATTCTTTTAATAATGTTTAATTATAACAGAGATCAGGTCGCAGGGTTTAACTTGAAACATGTACATCATCTTACATTCAGAATCAGGGCCAGTACACCATTTAATATTCAGAATTAGTGTGAGGGATAACAATACTAATAACTAACATACAGGTCTAGAAATTACTATTAAACTGTGGTCATAAGGGGAGAGACTGCAATCAGGTTAGTACAAAATAAAATGAGTAAAACAGAATAGGGTTAAACCTGAAAAAATAAACGCAACAAAACAGCGAACGTGTCGGCAGAAAGCCTTCGTCAGCGAACAAAACAACATAAAAAAACGGTATAAAAAAATAAAAATAAGAAATAGCACTTAGCTGGTAAGTAGTATCTGTGGGCAGCAATAGAAGTGTGGCAGAAGGAAAATGAGTGAGAGTTTAAATAAGCAGCGGCGAAAAAAAGGGGGAGAAAAATGTTCACTGTGTTAGGTCAGAACGTGGAGGGGCGGAGCTAGGGTCAAGCTGTGAACAGAGACATAACATTAATCCCATCTGGCGTCAAAGTGCCGTAAGTCAGGATAAGTCTGTGTTCCAAATTAACCCGGCTAGCGGTGTTCGTGCTAGCCACAATCGCACTTATTGAAAAGTCCGCCTTGCCCTGATGGTCGCTACTATTGAAGTGTTTTGAGACGGGACACTGTTTATCTTGTGTAATGTTTCGGAGGTGTTCGGTACACCTGTCTGAGAGACTGCGTCCAGTCTCCCCTATGTATGTCATCTGACAGCGGGTGCAGACAATGGCGTAGATAACGTTGCGGCTTCTACAGAGGAAACCGTCGCGTATCTGAAAACTGCCCTTGGGGAAACGTATGTGTTGAGTCCGGACGACAAAAGGGCACGTGTTGCAACGACTGCGTCCACACGGCTTGGTCCCAAAGTGGGAGGGGGGAGCATTGATACGACTGCGTACAAGGAGGTCTCTCAGATTTTTATCCCGTCTGAAAAACAATGAGAGGTGGGGAAGAGAAATGATAGACTTTTTCAAGGCACTTGAAATGATAGACTTTTTCCAGTCAATTTGGAACACAGACTTATCCTGACTTACGGCACTTTGACGCCAGATGGGATTAATGTTATGTCTCTGTTCACAGCTTGACCCTAGCTCCGCCCCTCCACGTTCTGACCTATCACAGTGAACATTTTCTCCCCCTTTTTTTCGCCGCTGCTTATTTAAACTCTCACTCATTTTCCTTCTGCCACACTTCTATTGCTGCCCACAGATACTACTTACCAGCTAAGTGCTATTTCTTATTTTTATTTTTTTATACCGTTTTTTTATGTTGTTTTGTTCGCTGACGAAGGCTTTCTGCCGAAACGTTCGCTGTTTTGTTGCATTTATTTTTTCAGGTTTAACCCTACTCTGTTTTACTCATTTTATTTTAAACTGTGGTCTATGTATGGAGTCTGTAAGATGCACATACAGCAGGATTGTTATACAATGTTATAAAGTATAATAATCGCTAATTCGATACTTGATGTATAATCCCTGTGCTTTTTAAAGACATAAGCGCATTGCAATATGTCTACTATATTGATACAGCTGTTAGGATTATCCTAGTGCATACACCACATTTCCTATATGAATTTAGCACATGGCAGGACAGTTGTATGTGATGTGTATATTTAAGACAAAAAGCATATTTTAGTATGTGTAAACAGAATGACATAGTGGTCAGTATTATTCGTGTGTACACATCGGTCTCTAATTCAGGCCTGAAACAATATACAGCCTGCCAGCACCCACTTTGCGGCCCGCGAAGTAAAAATATATTATTTATTAATATTATTTTCTTAATAGCTTTCCCCCCGTCCTATTATCTTTCAGCCCCTATAAGTTTTTCATAAAGTATTACGGCCTGCCTGACATTTTGAGTTGTGCAGGCCTGCTCTAATTCTGTCTAAGAATTAACTTATGACTGTATGTCTAAACATCACAATATCATTGTTACGAGTCAAATTGACGGAACTAACATGTGATTAAAACTCAGTGGTTCAAACTAAACTTTGAAAGCAAAACGAGAGGGGATTTGGACACGCAGCGCCACTATTCAGACCCAGGTCCTTTTAGACTCAATGCTATTCCAATGTCATTATGGTAGTTTATTTTAGTTAAACAGAAGAATTAAGTTAACAAACATATAGTCCATTCAATTATCTTTCATTTGATACCAAATTTTGTCTTACAACCGAACAATTATATTTTTTTTAAAATTTTAATCCCAACCTCTAACTTCTTGGACCCTGGTCCGAATAGCCACTTCGTTTGCGCAAACCTATTGGAGATCACATCCCTCATTGCAGGCAAAGCCATGTCGTTAGGCAGACTGACAGTAGAGAGTTTTGGTAAAATTGACAATCCTTTTATTCAAACCTGAATAAAAGTTTAAATCCCAGACCAAAACCTTTAGGAATTAATGTGTCTATTTACGTTTAGTCTCCGATTTTTAGTATACATTTTTATATTTATATAATTTTAACTGCCAGTGAGATAAAGCAAATAGAAGGGGTTTGGACAACCCATGGATAAATGAGAAAAGACTCTTTAATTGCTTAATATTTACATTTCCTCTAACAACTGGAGACATGCAAATATATTAAGATATAGAGAACAAAATCCCTTTTCCCTTATGCCAATAGGGTTCGAGAGAATTTAATTTTTGGACTTATAGATTTGTATTTTTAGTGTCGTCTGGTCTAATGGGCTGGGGAAGAGAAGCAGTTCGCAAGATGTTGTGGTAACCTGATACCTAGGTCAAAATCCATGAGGGTGTCAAATGCTCTCGTAATTACCAGATAGATCGCACAGTAACATCGCAAACCCCTCTGAAACATAGGAGCCAGAATGATCAATTCATTGATCGTGGGCCCTCAAAATAAAGAAGAAGAAGATTGAAAGTCTATTTTAGTTAACCTACAGGTGGAATTAAACCTATTAAACACATGGGCATGGGAAAAAAAGTTATCTTGAAAATGTATGGACTAACAAATAATGAATAAGGATTGAGAATATAAACCAACCAGGAATTGTATATTCTATATCAGAATCCCGCGCTAGTAGCAGAAATAAAAAAGGGCAGGCTATCCTGGGCAGGACACTTAGAAAGAATGCAAATGACAGAGGAGTGAAGAGGGTGCACAACCAAAGCCCCAGAGGAAATTGGCTCAAAGGCAGACCTAGGCTTAGATGGATGGATGATGTGGATTGTGGAAAAAGATCTACAGCAGCTGGGAATCCAAGCCTGGAAAAGATAGCATCAGATAGGTCTGAGTGGAAGGATGTGGTGAGGCAGGCCAAAGCCCTATACGGACTGTAGAGCCATGGACACAATGACATTGACAAAATGTACACATGGAAGTGACACGTAAAGCAAAGTGAGACATCAACTAGCCTATCTCCCAGTCCCCTTGATGGCTTGATAAAAACAGGTAAGTACAAGAGTAAGAGAGTGGGGTTGAGGAATTGTTCAACTCACCCTCACTTTAAACAAAACAGAGCAAGATTCAAGGCCAAGGCTACTTACTACTAATGTCTACTCAAGTCGGATACAGCCTTGGTCATCTTCGCAAGGACAAACAATATTATTGACAATAATAATAATAATAAAGGATACTTTTACTGTTATGCTTAAGTTTTTTCTGCTCAGAAATAAACCAGACAAAGGGTGTATTTATAGTCCAACCTTGATAAACACTATTATAGATTAGTTAGTTTCTATACATGTGTCAGTCTGACTCAGACATCTATCAAAGTCAAAGTATATCAATATCACTTGTATTGTATGCAACTAAATTAAATCTAACTACTATATGTAACAAACATATTGTTACATATAAATATAACCAAATTAACTCAGCTACACTGAATACTGCTGCTTATTTTCATACAATCGATCACAATGTTCAAAATCAATGTCAATTTTACAATAATTTATAGTTATAGATATCAATTTAAAAAAAAAAAATGGGTACTCAAATTTCTTTTATTTAAAGACAGTTACCATATTCATATATGCTTTATGTAAGTGACTTATTAAAATTCGAATATTTGACTTCCTGATGATTCTTATCAATGGCACATGGTTTTGTGAAAATAACACGGAAATATATGGAGTCATTTTTATATTTCAAAATCCTTGCTTTTATCAGCCCTATTCTCAGTTTTCTGTATGCTGTTGTAAACCGTAAAGTATAAAATTTTATTGGTATTTTTCCAATAAATAATTCGCAATTTTCTTACTTTAGGCCGACAATATTACTAGTGAGGTTTAGAATAATCGATTCTTTTCAAATTATACATATATTCCAGGATGAATGTTGTATTTTCTTTTTCAAATGACATTATTAAACGCCAAGATTAGACTTAAAAGAGAACATCCGCCTATTATAGAAAAAGTAAAAATAGACTTCAAATCCAAAATATTATCCATTATCAAATTCATATTGAAGTTACTCAGGGATATTAATAGTTCGAAGTGGCTATTCGGTCCTAAGAGCCAGATTGTCCATAAAATTTTCGGAAATTAATTACCTCCCTAATATTTAAAAATATACAAATAATTGTGAATTAAATAAAACTTAGATTCGTAATATATTGTTTGAAATATTTATAGAAATCAATATTTTAATTTTTCATTAAGTATATTTATGAAATGTCCTTAAACCATCTTAGACTTTAATTTATTTTAAGGCTTTAGATTACAAGGTGAAAAAAATATGACTAGAACTTACACGTCTTCAACTATTACTATTATTAGTTTATATGTGCAAAAGATTAAGTGTAGACATAAAAATATTGTGCGAAATTCTGTGAGAGTGACCCACTGACTGAAATTCATTGAAATTTCACAATTGTTTAAAATGTATTTTCCAAAATTTTTATCACTTTTCGGCTGTGTTGTTGTTTTCGGCACTATTTTGCAGTTTTACTATGTTGTCGGCGTCGGAGGAGACTCGACACCCTCGCCCTCAAGCCAGCCTGGGCCTGAGACTTCGATTAACGGGACAGAGAATACCAATGAAGATAACACCACTGCGACAGAAAATACAACCGACACTATTCCTAGTATAAGTAGTACTGCTACGACTACTATTTTTTTGGCGGAATCAGAACAAAGTGAGTACAAAGTTAAATAAAAATAATGAAGTGACTGGGAATGAGAATGGGTGGTAAAAGTGCAGTTCAGGTGCATATATTATTTCTGTTTGAATCTCTTATTTTCCCGTGTAAACTTATGACTTATGTTAATTCTTTATAAAAAGTATTTTAAAAGTTATATACCATCTTTTTATTGGAATACAACAACATTTTAACAAATTTTACGAGATAAAGAAAGTACATTTTTATGAATCTTTCGTGTTTTACGGAGCCATTGTGGTAAATCAAGGATAACTCTTCTGTCTTTAAAGATACTTTATAAAAGTTGCCCAATTGGATGAATCTTGTTAAAATAAAAGATGTATTTATTTTATAACTTTACTATGAACGATAACCGGAGTCGCCCGGGGCTGTATTCAGACAAAAACATCTGCTACGCCATTTTAGTTCACATTGATATTAAAGGAAATGTCAACAACAACACTACAGTAAAAATAATAATAATTAATTTGTCTCCTATTAAAAACAATTAAAATAACTTATGTAAACCTTTCGTTTTTCCCGTTTTCCGATGGCACCCGGAAGGATCATGATGGGATCCCGAACCCGATGTGATTCCGATAGAATCCTGGTCATGGTGGGATCCCGATCCCGGTAAGATACCGATCCCGGTGAGATCCGTTTCCGGTGGTATCCCAAACTAAATGAGATCCCAATCCGGTGGGATCCCGTTTCGGTGAGATTCCGATCCCGATAGGATTTTGATCCTAGTGAGATCCTGATCCCGGTGGGATCCCGATCCAGTGGGTTACCGATCCTGGCGGGATACCGGTTACGGTGAGATCCTGTTTCGGGTGATATGCAGATCCCGGTAATTATGGGGAGCTCACACACTTGACATACGAACCCAGCTTACAAGCCACATTGCAATTGTTACGAGCGCCTTAGGAGAAATTCCAGTTGTATTAACGTTATTTGTTGCCCCACAAGGTGCGCGTATAAACCAAATGCTGCACCATTAAAAATGCCTGTTGCATCAACAATTTTAGTTATTGTTTCTTGGTCGTCCTGCAATTTTAAACAAAATGATCCTACAACCAGCAATACCACAAAGCCAAAACGAGTCCGTCTTATAATATAAAAAAAATAATCACTAGCCCTCACTTTACTCAGCGCAAATCAGTCACCAGTAATAAGCGCATTTGCATACGAAAAAAGAGGAGGGGTGCTCAAATTAGAGCTGACCAATCACGGACAGCGTATTAGCAGCCTTCAGGGTGATCAGCTTCACACCAGGTCCAGGACAATGATGACGTGTGTGTCCACTGCTTAGTCAGTGATCCACTTCTAATCTCCCCCCCCCCCTCCCCGACTCGACTTCAAAGGACAACCCCTATATTCCGAGCTCTCTGAGAGGGGAAAAAAAGAAAGTTGGGGGGGGGGGGGCTTGTGCGTAATGAAGAATCTAGTATTTCATTCTTTTTTGTGAACATGCTTAGTTTGAAAATTTCGTTTAGCATTACTAACTTATAGGTGGCTAAAAATCTGGCATAGCGTAAAAAGAAAAATACAAACAAATGGGGGCCCTGTCACTTTGGTTGGGGGATGTTTAAAGACTCTTTAGAAGTAAAATAAAAAGAAAAGATGCGATTTATAATCTAGAATTAGTTAACTATAACTGCCTGGATTTAATTATTAAAGAATACACGTAAGTTTAAATGATAAAAAAAAATTAAAATACGAAATGCGCTAAGAAATAATATACGCACCTGAACTGCACTTTTACCGAATGGGTCACTTATCTGGGCAAGTTGAGCCTTATTGAAAAATTATTGAATACTTGCCCTTTCCCAGGGCTTAGTTTGATATTGTGGTGATGACCAATGATAATGCAACTGACCTTTCCTGTTCTTGCCCTTTTTTATGAAAAACACGTTTTTTGTCACCTGCTATATTTTTTAAATAATAATAATTTTTGGTAAATGCAGATAATTGGTGCCATGGCCATGACATATTATTATTTTTATCAAGGTGGTTTTATATAGCATGATCTAGGGCTGGGCTCACCTCGCTGTACATACAATTTAACAAACATAATCATGTACTTAAAAATTAACATACATTAATTAAATAAAACAAAACAAATATATATTTACCTCCACACATTCAAGAACTATTTACATTTCAAGCGATGTCAGCATTGTTTATTTTTCAGAAGGGGGAATTTGTCACGATAGTAGAGTTTAAAGAGATGTGTTTTGGGTGCAATTTTGAAGGCTGTGATGGTTGGTATATTGCGAATGTGTAGTGGAAGAGAATTCCATTGCTTTGGGCACAGAAAAAGAACAATCGTTCTCGGTATGTTTTGTGCAAGTCTTGGGGACAGAAAGAATATGTGCGTCTGGGTAGGAGCGAAGCTGTCAAAGGGATGAATAGACAGAGAAGTTCGGTTAGATAGGAAGGGGAGGAATTCGAGAAAAAGTTGTGGCAGAGACCAGAGAGCTTGTAGTCAATCCGTGCTTGTACAGGGAATGAAGTAGTGGTGTAACGTGTTCACCTTTTTTTTTGCCTTCAGAATTAGCTTAGCAGCAGAGTTTTGAACCTTTTGAAATTTTTCTAAGAAGTGTTTTGGTGAATCTGATAGAAGAGAGTTACTGAAGTCAAGACGAGAGAGGACAAGAGCACAGCCTAGGGTTTTTGTTGCGCTAACTGTGAGGTAGTGGCAGGAAATGGAGCTGATCTGATGAATAGCAGTGTATGCAGAGCTTTTAAGGGTTCACAGGTTGTGGCAACCAAGATGGTGGCCGTGTAAAATAAAATACTAACCTATGTTAAAATTAGAAATAAAACGTTAAATTTTAAACCCTAAAACTATCTCTAAACCTAACCTGAACCCTAAATCTATCCCTTAACCTAACCTTAGGCACCTCAATACTAAAAGTATACTATTATCAATTGTAATTCCAATAAAATATAGTTATGAGTTCTGGTACACTTCCAAGTCTAAAATTCAAATTTTTTCTTACATATATTCTTGTTAAAATTGCGTCACAATGACTTGTTTAAAAATTAAGATTAGATCATCTATGAATTAGTCTATAACAAGTTTATTAAAATAATCAAATACTCAACATTATCATAGTCATTATATTAAACTAGGACAGAGGCATAAGAAAATTTTAACATTTATAACAACAAATGTGTAATTGTAATATATTTCTAATTAAATCAACAAAACAAAAAAAAAAGAAAGAAATTTAATAAAAACATCACTAGAATACTATTAAAAAGAAACTTAAAAAATTGTATAGATTCAGCATTATGATTAGTATTTAATGTTAGGCTTTTATGTCAATATATTTAGTAAGAAAATATATTGGAAGCCATATATTTTTGGTAAAGGTGTAGTTAGCAGCATAGGTTTTCACAAAAGAGTTTCTCACTCACCCTAGGCACAGTGACATCAATTTCGGGAATCCCAACACTGGACTTAAACTATATAGTCTAACGGTTGGACCTGAACGATATTTATGATAACTTTCCCGTTCTTCATTGAGTTTGATTGATAAAATTAATATGAAATATATTGAAATGTTACATTCTTTTTTTAATCAAAATTAAACTTATAAGGTTCAAAATAAAATAAAATCATCCTTGCTTATACCCCAATGTCAAGGGTATGAGAATCACTAACGTTCGTCCGAACGCTGTTTGGGTCCGTGAGTTGTGTCATGAGTGTAATTATTGTGTCAGAATGATCATTGGATGACAGGAATAGAATAATAAACAAGTGTGGGGCATTAAGGCTTGAGATAGAGAGAGTGGAAGGGAGAGAGTTGATTAAGGAGACAGTAATGAGATGCTAGTGAGTGATAGCTCTTTGTTTTTGGATGGTCTGCGTAGTTATAAGGAGATATTGTAATCAGGTGAATCTGCGCGACAGATGCACAGAATAAACAAACATTCATTGTGCCTGGGTATTCTTTTATAGACAGTCTTGTAGAGTACCATCAATAATCGTTGCCAGGAAATACTTGAAGATGCTCGACTAGAGTAAGAGTATTTTAGCACCCAAGAGGAAAATCGCTGAAAAAAGATGCATGCTTTGCTAAAGTGCTGTCTTTTTATTGGTTGAAAATAAAGAAGTACCAGTATGCTATTAATTTCTATCACATTCCATTTCTCGGGAGATTGTAACATAATTTTCTGGGAAGGGGAGGTCACTCCCCAAATCTCCCCAACTTTCAAGGGAAAAAAAAGGATTTAAAAAAATCAAAATCTTTGGAATACCAAGCTGTGGCCTCTAGTTGACCTGGAGAACTTCCAAAACCTATATACAGTGGAAGACGTTGCTGGCCGTGCTGCTTAGTACATCTTAGCCCATATTTTTAATTAGCCTATAGTTTATCAGAAAGGGATAGTTTTTATAGTATGTGACCTAGGAAATTTGTAGAAATTTAACATTAAAAAAAGAACCTAACAAATAGTTTAAATATAGGTTGATGCTAAAAAAAATGATTCAGTGAAAGCACTATTTATAATAAGTCAACTGCTTGTTGGTAGCAGTCAACAACACTATGGCTTTTAGATTCAGTAAATGTGCTGCACATGGTACATACATAGGTAATTTGTGTGTTTCAATATTTTTTACTGTATCCCCTTGTAAAGCCCAGACATGTTAGCAGCGTTATCATGGGTCTGATCTCTGCGTAATTGCTTCCCCGGTATGGCTTTTCATTTTCAAAAATGTTTTAAAGTCTTTCAAAAGGTCATCCATTCTTTGAGTACCCTATCTAAGTTGATATTTTTTGGTGATCATTTTGTTTAATGGTTAATCTGTGTGTGCATACCAAGAGAATGAAATAAATTATGTATAGCAAGTTTTATGCAATTTTTAGATGTTGAGTACACTAAATTACTGATAAAAATACATTCACTTTTGGTATTACTATCTTTATTTTTAAATCTGGATTTTTTAAAAAAAATTTTTTATGTCATAAAATATAATTTGAAAACCGTTTTGTGAAAATTAACATAATAATTGAAAGTTATCTGTTTCAAAACTGGAAATAGTCTTTAATTACTTCAGCTTGTGGGGTTAAAAACTCAGACTCAGAAATAAACCTGCGTTGTGTGATGTTAAATCAAATGAATTTATTATACATGAATCCTAGGACTAGCTCCTATATTTTAATGCTGTTTCAGTTTTTCTTTTTTGAAACAGTGTGCTTCCTCATTTAATTATTTATTTTAACAGTTATACATTTTTTACTCTTTTTTTTTTTCAGATTGCTCAAATTTTTCAGATATGCAGGAGTGCTGTAACACAACTCACAATTGCACTTTCTGTGATGTTAATGGAAATGGAAGTAAGAGTCACTTTTCAGTATTGTTCAATTTACATTTATACTTTGTAAGATTATACATGCGACCTCTTGAATTCCAAAGTACATTTTTTTTTAAAAGTGTGTAAAATGAATAACTATTCAGTTAGCTCTATGAAAAATTACAGACAATTTATATTTTGAGGATTGTTTAGCCTTATTACTCAATGTCAACGTCTTAACTATTTTGATTGTAAGACATGCTCTAACCTTTAACTGACAATATCCAGCTAGATCAGATCTGGTGTTCTTAACCTTTTTTTAATTCCAAGGACCCATTTGCAAGTCACCCACCTGTGGACCACATTTTAAGAACCCCTGAACTAGATAAGAGTTCAATGCGCTTCATTCAAAGAAGAATATTTTTAAATATTAAGAAAAGATGTATAAAATATAAGGAAATGATGCCTTTACCTGTAAAGGATATTCACCTCTGCACTAAGTTATCAGAACAAACTAAATAATAAGATCCCACAAGCTTCGAAAAAGCAACATAAAATGATTTTTAATTTATGATGGTTTTAATAGGAATTGAAATACATATACTTACCCTGTAACCCTCAGTCAGATGAACATGGTGCCCCCTGTCTCCTAGTTTGGTAATTATTTATATTTTTTTTTACTTTAGCATGTGTCAACAAAGAAGAGTGTCAAATTTCTAACGACAAATGTAAGTTTGTAATCTTCACGCTAGAATTTTTGTATTATCTTGTATAATTTTTAAATTTATGTACTTATGGACTTTGATTATATTTTTATACAAGTTACAAGTATTTTTCAAAGAAATATCAGTTTTAAAGAAACAAATAATGCTGCAAAAAATATTTTAATATCATTTTCCCACCTTTTACAGGTGTTCCTACCCTTCGTAAGTATTTACTTTGATTTATGATTTTTAAAAATACTTTAAGTTGGAGGTTCTCAAAGTGGTCATCAGGAGACCAGTGATGTGCCACTAGCCTGATCAGCAAATGTGATACATTTTTTAAAAAATTTTTCTAAAAGAAGAATAAAATTTAAAAGTTGATGGTCATGTGGAGGAAGCACAGATTCAATGAAAAGTTTGAGAAGAACACATTAGTTTTACATAACTAATTATGTGATCTATCATGATAGATGTGCCAAAGAGACTATGCAATTAGGTTAAGATGGTATTATTTCAGATTTGCTCTGTACTTATAAGTATTAGAGGTTAGATTTGCACATAATGAAAGCTCCTCTTTAAATTTATTTTTATTTGGGGTCATGGGGTGATCTAAATATATGTTACACTTGAGATTTCAAGCCATCTTGTTATTTTTACTCCTATTTTAACAGCCAGTTGTCTTAACATAACATCTAAAGTTGAATGTTGCATTTCAACGGATAACATCAACTGCTCTTGGTGTGGTTCCTCATCAAATCCATCAGGTGAGTAGCTTGTGCAAAGAAATTTAAGACAGTTAATAGGTGGTAATTATGACTTTTCACCACAGTTGAAAATGGCTTCATGTGGCAAATGATCTTGGAAAGTGGTGAGAATTGGCTTAAAATGTTGGTTATAAATTTCTACATTAATCCATGCTGAGCTCATTTCTATATTTTATTATGGTACTGAACCCCTTCACCCAGTACCTTAATACTTGCATTTATTTGCCAATTTTTTATAGTCTGTGACTCTATAAGATTTCTATTTACATTATATTGTGTCAGCTGTATATCTCTTATAATTATTCTCCTTGTTGAAATTGACATAAACAAATTAATTTTGAAAAATGTGTCATTTTGGTTTTTACTCTTTTTTTAAAACTGCTCACAAATATGGTAGAATTTATCAAAGTCATTTGGCATATCATCTCTTTATAAAACATGTCATTGTACATGTCCTGTGACATCATGGTATAATTAAAGGGTTAATAATAATAGTATATCATGGTAAATTCAGGCAAAGAAATAAAAGAGATGCAATTTAAAAATGGTTCTCCAAAGGCATGCCATTTTATTCTTCAATTCATATTTTAGGCACATGCAGATCAAGGTGTGAAGATCAAGAAAATGATATCTGTAGTATTAGTAAGTATTTTCATTTGCTTCCAAAGTCATATTTTCATGTTTAATTTTATTTACCCACACAAATCAAAAGTCCTGAACCATTTGCTATACATCAATTATTACAGCTAAGTGATGAGATTTTAAAGCTGACATGACATAAACAATCGTTCTTCCCACAAACAATAATTGCTTGGAACCAACTGGACAATGCCGCCATGGACTCGAAATCAATCGAGAGTTTCAAGGCTGCCCTGGCACCAGCTAGGAGCGGTTAGGATAGCCGCATCGTTTCCCAAACAGTTGAACATATGCCAGTACTTGGTTGCAGCAACGTAGCCTATCAGAATCAGACTGTCAGATTTTCTCTTCAAAGTAGCATTTGTGGAAGACCTTGCCCTGAACACCAGTTCACATAATCTACCTAACTGACACCCACCATTTCGAATCAGTGTTACTATAATATTGAAAGAGATGTTGAAAGGGTGGCAACAGAATATGATACATGGAAACTACAGAAATAACTTTTTTTTAATGCAGTTTTTCTCACATTTTAGAAACAACTTTGAATGCAATGCTCATACTAGGACACAAAAGTCAATCAATTATCTTAAACCAGCTGTCATATAAAATTCTAGAAGGATGACATTGACTTGCAATATTAACCTACTATTATATTATGAATTTACTATTTGGTAGACTTTGCCCTGTTAGAAGTGATGCTGTAATCAAAACATTTCTAGTTAATTTTTTGGTCTCTTTTTAAAGTTGTTGTACTGAACTCAATAAAATTTTTCATTTCAGGTCCACCCACTCAGGTGACTACAGCCGCAACTGCAGCTTCCAACTCTGGAGGTCAACATTTTGATGGTGCTTCATTCATAGGCGGCATTGTGCTATGTGGTGGTCTTGTTGCGTTAGTGTTTTTTGGACTCAAGTTTTACAAGGCTCGTAAGGAACAAAATTATCACACGCTGTAAAGCACCGGATCCTTTTTTTTTTATATACATTTTTTCAACATACAAATTAATATTACATTTTTATGTATGTCAACTAAGGTTTTATCTTTTTTTTTTAATACTTTGATATTGTGATATTACTTTATAAATGATGGAGAGGACATAAAATTTTACGTTAAAGTATAACATTTTATTGATTTTAAAGAACCACTTAAATTTACACATTTTAAATTATAAAGTACAGTTCTTTTGGTATAGTGAATTGGAATTTTTGAAGTGTTGCCAAAATTAATTTTCATTGTCTAATAAAGCTTCTTTTATTTACATATTAAATATGCTGTAAGAAATCCTGTTTTTATTGTCAGCATACTCATTCATATTAATATTTTATTATTATTTTTCGGCTTTCAATATTCGTTCCTTAATTTTCAAAATAACAATAAAATTTACATTTATAAGATGACTGAACATTTTTTATGTTAACATAATATAGCAAGTAGGCATAAGCAATAAATTACCGTTGATATCTTTGATAGTAATTTAATTATACTAGACTCTACTTACATATCTGTTTGGCTTCAATTCTGTGTTTGACTTCATAAATTTTCAGTATTAAACTATTATCCTCATCAATCTACCGGTCCTGAAATATTGTTCTCAAAAAGTTGGTTTCTAATTTATTTTAATGACGCCCAAATTGTGATGATAATAAAATATGAGCGTTACGGAGAATGACGGTGAAATAAACTTAAGTCTTTTTAAGCTTCCATTTTATGTTTGCTATGTTTTATTTGATTTACCAAGGATAAAAATGCTTTTCCTTATTGGTTAGATTTTATACTTGTCTATCGTTATTGGGTTTTTCTAATATAAAAAAATTAATTATTCATGTGTAGGCAAACCTGAAGATATTATTTTTGAAAATTGTTTTTTTTATAATAACCTAAGAGCTTGAAATACAATATTTCAAAATGAACGTATAAAGATTTGTAATTTATTTATATTACTTAATACATTTAAAGATTGAATCCTTTAAGATTTATCACTACTTGTAAAATAATAGTATGCTATGTGGGCAATTTATATATAATATAAACAACCACTTTGCAGCCAGCGAAGTAACAAAATATTCTTTATTTTTTTTTTTTCTTTATAGCTTTCCCCTCGTTATTTTCTTTCTGCCCGCACAAGTTTTCATATATGTCCCGCCTTAAATTTTGAGTTGTGCTGGCATGGTTTAGAAGGGCATAATCTAGTAATACTAAGTACAGTTATTGGCCGCTGATACCAAGCAAGATTATCATAAAAGACATACTAAAGAGAAGAAATATTGTTTCAGTTTTGAATGTTCTCTAAGTTCAATAATTAATCATTATCTTTGCGTTAAGAAAATTGCAAAAGAAAGTTAACCACAATTTATTTAATTATATTTTTGTGATACAGTTTAGTGGTAGGGCCTTACAAGCAAAGTGTTGATGGACAAAGCTTTAAAAAATAATTCACTCGGAGGCCTTTCTTCAACTTTTAAACTAGAAAGTTTCTGAAAGGATGAAATGATGTAGATATTTTGTTCTATCAAAATTAAATAAGCCTTTGAACTTGTTGCTGCCTCTGTTAGACTTGATTAGTTAATTCTAACATTTTATTCAAATTTCAAGTTTATTCATCATAATTTAAACCTAAAAAGTCACTGGGATCTTAATCTAAGTTCTCCAAAAAGTAAAATTTTCTTGTTTTCCACAATCATAAAAAGACAATAAACATGTAACAGGTCATTTGTTCATATATTCAATATGAAAGAAAACTACTTCATCTGATTAACTTTATATAGTATTCTAGTTTCAACAGGCCACAAAGGTTATATGAAATAGTTCATACATTTTATCAATACTAATGTTAATTTTTATATAAAAATCATATAATGGCCCTTCTAAGTGGTATGGGAAGTTTTTGAATATGCTAATGCTTAGTTATTGTAAATATATTTTTTTTTAAATCTGTATGATAATGTTATAATTTTGTTATTGAATCTTAGTGATCTGTTTCTGTAATATTAAAAATATTTTTGAAACTTTTTTATTTAGAAAGAGTTAATGTTGAACTGATTTAATGTTGGTTACCAATAAGGGCTGAATAAGGGTTATTCAGTCTCTCAAGCTGCAAAACATTTTTTTTCTTTGATCTTTTTTTCCCCCTATTTAAAATTTTCATCTCCATAGTTTGAGGTGTCAGAGCTTTTAGAACATTTGAAATAGCCCTTTTGAGACTAAAATAATCAAGAAATTTAAGATATTGAATCTGCCTGTAACTATTTATTATCTTTTAAGTATAAAAAAACTAACTGAGTTTACATTACTGTAATTTTTACTCTGACTTCTCTGAAATGCCTTACAAACAAGTGCCTTGACTTGTGCATTTTTTTCATCTACTGCCTTGTCTTAGCAATTTTTTGGGAACTTTTTGTTCCATGAATCTATTTTTCATTTGATGTAACATTTTTACAGAATCTCTCATTTTCATGTTATATATTTGTTTAATAAAGTATTTTTTTTTTTACTTAAACCAAACTCTTTTTTCACATAATGTGGGAAATAATTCATTTTCTGAACACTTTTTTGTACATTCCAGAGGTCTTAAATTTACCTGCAGAACACTGCCTCCATTTCCAACCTTAATTACTGATTA